ATGAGTAACCCAGTCACTGAGAAGCTCAGTGACCAAGTGTGGGAAATTACAAGACATGATTATAACAAGACAAGTTTTAAATAATTCTATGAACACTCTTGAAATGTACCAAACCTAGACAGATTTACAATCAATAAAACAAGAACCACTTTTTAAATAATATAAAATATACTCAAAGAATGAAATAAATGTCATAGCTGCTTTACAAAACAGTACCAGTTCTCCAGCTCCAGGTTTTTATGTTGTTACTGTATGATATTGCCATCAGTGGCGCAATGCTCAAAAGTGACAATGTATTGCACATGCTGGAATGCAGTGTTTACTGTACAACATAAAATGGCAGTTCTGTTACAAATTGTTTGAAATATAGCAATACAACTATTGCTTATTTGGTACATAAAATGATGTACTTCTGTAATTAAATGGTGTTCAATTGTAGAAAAGTAGCAGCAGTACAAGATTAATAAAACAAATGTTATCATCCTTTATATAAAACTTGAACAGTCTAAATTCCCAATAGCATAATATCCATCAAGTTGTATACAGCTTCTTCGACCTCTTAAGTATGCCAATGGCCATTGACCTACAGTACATACAGTAACATTATTCCTATACAGAGCCATAGATGCACAATAAATACAACTATCTGGATACTGTTGTTTGTATGAATGCCTTTAGATTCTAAATCTGAGACAATGTCCATCGTGAGTAACCCCTACTAGTACAAGAATAACGCTGTTTATTCTGGATGTGCAGCAGAGGTCACCTGTTCCCGACCTCTAGGCTGGCGTTGGGATGGAGAGCATTCCGCAGACTGAATGTGTCCCCGCTGGATGAGTGTCTGGACGGGGCTTTTCCACAGACCAGCGATGGCTCTGCTTCTTTAATCTCCATAGCTCTTTTATAGAGCTCCGCGGCTTTTTCAAAATCTCCTTCTTCGTAACTGCAAAGTAGATTGACAGTGAACGAGTTTTAAACTTGTGCAGCTCACAGGTCAAATCCTTAAACAGACAAGTTAATATCACAGCGAAGCTAGGTAATTGAAAGCAAATCAATTCAACAGCATTAAAACATTAGCAGTACACACATTACATATATGAAATGTATGATTTTAGCATCCCATTGCATCTCATGGCTTTTATGTGCACGTAACAGTATATCAATCTGGAAAATTGCAAAAAATGGCCAACTGGTAATTTCCTAATTTTATTCATGATTAATAGGTGGCAAATTGATTTACAACAGAGAAAACAAAAGCCACAAGTGATATAATGTGTAGTACTGCTTAGACCAGGGGTGTCAAATATACACCTCATACAAACTCATTCATCCAGCCTATGAGGCTAGTTTGGTTGGGATTCAATTCTTGCATTGTCTGGGTTACATAGCTCATTACATAGCCTTTGGTGATATTACGGAAATACACAGCACTACATACAGTGTTCTACCTCTCTGCACTCACAGTGTGCCTGTTTGAGAATGTCAAATGGGTTTGACAGGGTTGTGTCTTTTCACAAAAAATAAATACTGCATGACCTATACATAAACATCTCTAAAACCCTGTTTTGCTAAATTGGGACACAATGACTTTTGTTTTGCATTGTATTTAAAGGTACTTTAGGTATGTCACTGTAAAATAAACACTTAAAGGCACTATAAATAGTATTATTGGATAGTGTAATGGTTGTGCCTAATATTTCAATAATTTATATAAGTTTAGCATTGTATTTATGTATACAGTACATATTAATGTAAGGAATGTATGACCCACCTGAAGTACATTTAAATAAAACAAATGCATTTATTGCTAGTTTCATAAAAATGAAGTGTAAGGACTACCATGTTTAAATTTATCATTCTATCCCATCTTGGAATTTTTTAAAGTATAGGAAATATTTAGTTATCCTTTTTGGTTGTCAACTAATTTTGTGTCAAGTTCATTTTGAATTATGACATTTGCACTCCCATACGTCTCCAATAAACTCCAATGTGCTAATATAACCCTTCTGTTTATTTTTACTGACAAACTGTGTCAGTTATTAAACATACAAGTTCATCTTATCTTTTACAGGTGTGTACATTTTGAATGACTGTGCTACTGTTGCAGTGCATCAAAAAAAAAACATACATCTCTTCTTTTAAATATTGCCATCAACAAAAGGTTACGACGGAGAGTTCCGGAATGACATTCGGAATTCTGTAAGAGATTCTGCAGGGTTGAGGATTGAGAACATGAAGGAGTAAAGCCCTTCAAATCCCACTCACCTCAGCACAGCCAGGTTCTTGAGAGTCTCACCCACCCGCGGGTGAGACCGACCCAGGCTGTCCTCATAGATCTTCAAAGCTCGCTCATAGAGAGGCAGTGCTTCCATGTGCTGCTTCTGAAAAGGTCATTAAAGCACAGGAAAAGAGGCTGTTGCCTTTAGGTTCAAATAATAAATCAAATTACCAGCAATTACCAGCAATAATACCGTTGTTTTCTTCAGCGAGCTAAAGTTACCTGCAGGGATTACGGATCTCCAGGAAAATGAATACAGACCCCAGCTTCAGAATTTATTTTCCATAATATTACACTCACAAAACATTGTGGGTGTTCAGTAATAAAAGGCTTAATACACTTTAGCGACTTTTTTTTTCTTTTTGGATTATTTATTTTAAGACATTGATTAGAAATGTTCTAATCATAATATAACCTAAAACCCTAAATAACCTCCTCTTTTGATTGAGCCACGTGGGATCCCCTTTTTTCTGTTTTAATTGAGTTCCTATTGTAGATTACCTTAAAAAGAAAAGGTGTTTTTACAAAATACAGGAATGGTTCATACAAGAGAGATTGCACAAATGCTGTTCTTAATAGTAATATTTACTCATGGGATTTAATGGTATATTGCCACATAAAATGGCATTAATAAAGATTTCACAACAAACATAAATCACATTATACACATCACTTTCTATAGCTGCTAATCCAATTCACGATTAAAGAAGCCTGGAGTTTATCTCAAGGTAGGATACTCCCTGATCAGGACACCAGTCACATACACACAGACACAAACACCCACACACTCACAACAGTGTCTGTTTTCCCTGAAGCCAAGTAACCTACCGGGAGCAAAGTGGTGCCCCTAGAAGAAACCCATGCAAAACACAGATAGCACCCCAGGAACTGAACCCAGGGCAGCCTGCACTTTGAGGGAGAAACGCTAACTATTGCGCCACCCTGCTGTCCCATAAACATAAGTTTTTCTGGATAGATGTGAATGTTAACAAGCATTTTGGAAAATGTAATCTAGAAACCCACTCACCAGCTGGCAGTATAACACAGCCAGGTTTACCAAGGCAGTCGCTATACTAGGGTGTTTTGGCCCAAAAGACTTCTCCCGAATCTCAACAGCCAATTCATACAGTGGAACAGCCTTCTCTAATTTTCCCTGTACAACAAAAAACAAAAGATTTTAACTTGAAAGCCAATGTAATTTATAGAACACATTGGTATACAGAAAATGAGCCTATACTAAATGACAGCATACATGATAAGAACACTTGTGTAAATGTTATGAGGTACCTCTCATCGCATTGCTATACTGTCAATAATGTCAACATAAAGAAGTTGTATTTCTGTATTCTATATGATGTATGACTGCATGATGAGTACTGAATATTTCTTTTCATATACATTTTCATAGAACATATACAGTATGTAATAAAAACATTTTATTATTCAAAATCAGGGCAGCTCCACAGAACATAGTAAATAAGAATTTTAGTTAAACTAAAACTGTTTCATCCTAATAAAGCCACAAAAATTTAAAATGTTCTTCAATCTGCACTTGGAGAGAAGAATTTTCTAAAATGTTCAGAAATTAAGAATTGAAGGAAAAGTGTGGAACAACACACAATGGAGTACAAAGGCCTTACCAAGCTTAACGAAAGGAAAGTAATGCTTCCTGAGACTTTAAGAAAGGTGTGCCTTTTTACCACCTAAGGATTATACTATGAAGAGTTTAGAAAGTAAAGAAGTATTATTTTTTTAAAAGATTGCAATGCTGGTCATTAGGAAGCCAGTCGGTTTCATCATTGGTGCCACACTGGGCCTAAGCCATCTAGTGCCCTGCTTCAAGACTGAATGTGACCAAATAAGAGATACTGTTGTATGTTGGAATAACTTTCTGCCTTTTATTACTATATGAGCAATCTGGGAGTGGGAGGAACCGCGGCGAGCACTAGTAAATGTTGACACCCTATTTGAGGGGGTGGAGGCACCGGTGTAAGTTTAGAGAAAACCGAAAAGAAAACACACAAAAGGGGGGAAAACAAAACAAAAAGGAAAAACAGAAAAATGTGCCGCTGGACTTCTAACGGGGAAAAAGAACCCACTCGGCGGTGGGAACCAGACTAGACTTACGCTATCTAACGGGGTCCAGTCTAGAAGAGCAGGGAGCGCAAAGCCAAAACAAAATAAAAAACGTGTGAAAAAGGTCAGCCGGCCCCGGTAGAGATGCATGATGGGACGGGCAAAAAGGCGGCCTTACGTTCATGCACAATCCCCTCCGGGGCTGCCGGAGGAAGTTTCTCCCCTTCCGGGAAGGTGCTCAGTGTGTCTTTAAAGAGCCCTCAGAGCTGTGGCTCGCCCTTGATCAGCCCGTACAGCTGTGGTTACAAAGGCAAGGTGTCGCCCTTCATCAAGGGCTCCGCCTCCACACTGAACACGCCCCTGCCCCCGTGTAATGCCACACTATTAATTGGGATTAATTATTTCCTGAATAGGCAATTGCAAACAAAGCAAGATCAACAATAAATAATTTCTCTGAGTACCCTCAACTAAACAAAAAAAAAGACATAAGATACATAAAAAATGAAAAAGTTAAGTTATTTAATTAAGTGGAAAGACTTGTGTGTGTATTTTTTATGAATCTAATGGTTATATTTTTTTTATTATTTTTATTATTTTTGTACTCTTGCAGATGCTATACGGTATAAAAAAGCACAATATGTTTCTCCGATTATTTACTTATACAGTCTTCGCCCTATAAAGTACGTTCCTATAGGGCTAGAAGTTGTTTTTTTTTTCCATCTGATTAGCACCAGCCAGAACTAAAGGAGTTAAAGCCAGTGGCTGTTGTTTTTGGTTTTTTTGAGAGATTGAAATTTACCCTCCTCTTGTAGAGCATAGCAAGGTGTTTGACGGTGTACGCCAGTGAGGGGTGGTCTGGCGACAAGGCTCTTTTCCTGATCTCCAGTGCTCTCTCATACAGCTCCTCTGCCCTCTCGTACTCCTTCCTCTCGCAGTGCAGTGCCGCTAGATTGTTGAGGGACTGAGCGCAGTCTGGGTGGTCTGGCCCCAACACACGCTGCCTCATCTCTAGGGATCGGGAAAGGAAAGCTTTGGCCACCCTAGATTTACAGAAAAAGAAACAGTTATACAATGTCTCCTGGTGTTTACAGCACTCCTGATAAAGCATGTCCAACCTCATTTCGTTTTCTAACCACTCACAGCCAACTGCAGCCTGAGCAGATCAGACCAGACTTCCCTTTCCCCACCAACAGCCTCCAGCGCCTCCAATGCATTCCCAGGCCAGACGAGAGATATAACCCCTCCTGTGTGTCCTGGATCTGCCCTGGGGTCTCTTCCCAGTGGGTCATGCTCAGTGCATCTCCAGCAGGAGCCGCCCAGGGAGCATCATCAGCAAATGCCCAATCCATCTCAACTGGCTCCTCCCGATCTAGAGGAGTAATGACTCTGCTCCTCATTGGCTACCAAGCTCCCTATCTTCGCCCAATTGAAGGATAAGTACAGAATAACAGACAATGGAGTACAAAAGTCTTATCAGACTTCATTAAATGAATGTAATGCTCTCTGAAACCTTAAAAAAGACGCCCCTTGTTTTTCTTGGCAACTAATGATTATCCTGTAAATACTTCAGAAAGTAAAGCATTCACAGAGACTAAGCCCAGCAGCCCTGGAGAGAAACCTCATTTCCGACGGTTGTACCCGCGATCCCATTCTTACAGTCACTACCTAAAGCTCGTAACCGTAGGTAAGGATATTGACATAGATCAACTGGAAAAACGAGCTTAGTCTGAAAATTGAGCTCCTGTTTCACCACCACAGTTCAGAACAGTGTCTGCATTACTGCAGATTCTGTGTCAATCCGCTGGTCAACTCAGCCCGAAATGGTGACAGAGCCATTGTGTGGGCTCACCTCCCACAAGGCGAAGAAAGGACTTCGGGTGCAGTTCTAGTTGGGGGACAAGCATTGGTGGGACAGATCTGGGCAGACTAAACCATGACCAACCTATTTGTAATTATTTTAGTATTTTAAATCACATATACAGATTCATCAGTGAACTCTGGAGTAGTAATCAATCATATTGATCATTCTATTCATTAATATTTTATGATTGTGTATCACTGATTGTGAAAACATTCTCTTACACTGCTGATGCTGGCACTTACAGTAGCTCCAGATATACTGTTGCTGCACCAACCCTGACAAAAAGTCCAATGGGCTGTTTTTAAAGCATTTTAGGAATAGTCTGTATGATACACATTCTAGAGTTATAATGAATTTATACTGCAGTTTGACAAGTCTCAGCAAAAAGAATACTGTAGCATGTGATTTAATTTTTTTTTTTATTTAATTTGATAAACACGATAATTTAGGTACATGCAACTCTTTTACCCAAAGCCACGCGTTGAAGTCAATACCCTGGCTTCTTTCAAGAAACAGTTGGATAAACTCCTTGTATAAATTAGCTACAAACTAACAAATTAGCTAGATGGGCCGAAAGAACTCCTTTCTCGTAACCTTCTTGAAACCTTTCTTATGTGAGCACTTTGATTGCAACAAGCAAAGTTTCTGACTGGCTCCATTTACAACACACAAACCAAAGTCCAGGTCAAACCTGCAGGTCCCAACACTGCCATATCCTTCCTTCCCCAGGCTTTGAGCAGACAGGGGCAGGGCAACCATCCCCTTCACTCACACAGAACTCAGACAACAACAGTGACAAGCAGAGGAGTTAAACCAAGTAGGAGCAGGGAATATAGCATACCAGCACCAGCAGACCAATAGATGTGCACAACAAACAGAGAAAAAAGACAACTATCTAAGCAACTATTTTTTTCCAATTTCATGAATCCATAATAACACATTATGACATAACACCAGGAATACAAACTGATAATTTACAGTATATACTGCAACAGATACCTGTTATCACTGAACAGGAAATATCAACACTAAGCATAGAAACAGATATAAGAGTAAAAATAACTACACAGTGGACAGAGTGACGCAAGCATTCACAAGAGACCTCCTAGAAAACTTAAGCCTTTAATTTGCATTTCCGGGCCAGGCTACAATGGTTGTAATGTACTAATTGTGACGTACAGTGAAATATGGTGCTATAACAACATGAATTGTAGCTGCACATACAGTACTATAGTCTAGAGAAAATATTAATAATAGTTTTAGAAAAAAAAATGTAAAATAACAAATATAGTTCAATAATGAATAATCTATTAGGAATAATTTTTGAAACGTTAGGTCTGAACAGGGGTGAATGAAAACTGCAACTGTATTTTATCTGAACGTTTAAAAGTACAGCGTCTTAGTGTTTTTTAAACATAACATCATGATAACACATTGGTTATGATGGCAACAAATGTATTATTTATATTTTTATGAATAATTTTATAAAATATTAATAATTCATTAAAATGTTAAATCTTATTGCAGTACTGTCCAAAGTAATAAAAATAAGTGTTTATGGAGTAACATTTGTTCCCTCAGATAACACAGAATGTTATTTAAGATTTATTATACTATATTGCAATAGCATGTTTAAAATATGGACTAAGGTCTAAAAACGTGTCTGTGAGGTTCCTTTGTTTTCAAAATAAATATTAAAATGTTAATGACTGACTTAGAAAAGTAGAACGTTGTTTGAATTTATGCAAATTTTTAACCCGAGTCGAAGCCATGATTAATTGCTTTATAATGTCTAGTTAAAATCCACTCCATTATTTTTTCAAGATGCTATTATGTCCTGTACTTTCAGGTGCCTCTATGCTTGTCCAATATAAGTCAGACCACTCAGGCATTTAAGCAGATATTTCACACGAATTGAATTAATGCAGAAGTACATATCGTTGACCTGAACGTGCATTATTATAGAATTCAAGATTCAAATTTTTTAGAACTATATTGTTTTTCTGGAGATATTGAACATTTCTTTTCATTTTCAACTATTTTAAAGGGGAAATGTAGGCATACTTGTAGAAATGATAGGAAGGAAATACTATTTACTGTATGTCTGGGAACTCACCTTATACCTAGGGAAGCATTTGACAATTGTTTTTTAAAGAG